GTTGCGGCGTGAAGTACGACGTGGGTTGCGGCGCAGGCTGCGGCGCGGGTTGTGGCGCGGGCTGAGGCGCGGGTTGCGATGTAGGTTTTTCTTGCAACCATGTACTAATGCGCACTGATGCCAAATCGTCTTCTATTTCTTCATCTTCATCGGTTGATCCGGCTTCTGCTTGTAGTCGCTGCACGTGTATTTCTTGCAATTCTGTTCTTGCTTGCAACTGAGCCTGCTCGAGCTTGAGTTCGGCTAACCGCTCTTTCGCCTCTAACTCCGCGAGGAGTCTCTTGCGTGAGGCTACGGAGCGGCGTGACCTAGTCTCGCCGGGCTTCAATGTGCACTGCGATCTTTGATCACCCTCTTGCTGGGTTTCTTCCGTTGCGGTTGTTCTATCGGTTGCCGAGGTAGCGGTCGTATGCTGACCGTTGTGGTTTCGCTAGTGGTGTTTGTTGAACCACTAGCGGCTGAGTCGCCCCCGGAGGCCTCTTCTGTGGCCCCCTGGGTTGTTTGTTCATCCTTGCGACGCTTCGATGATTCTCCGTTGTTACTACGCGTAATCACCATTCTTCTTCACAATAATATTTTTTCGTTCTTGCGGTTTGCTTCTTTCTTCCGGCAATACCAAGACCGATATTGTCTTTTTCTTCTAGTAATCCGGCTTCTCGAAGGACCATTAATATTACGGATCGCCGTAATGCCGTGCGAAAAATGGAATAAAACGCGCTGGTCTTGCTTTTAACTGGAGGCAAGCGGCGGTGAGGAGGAACTTGTACTTTTTCTTTTCTTGCTGGTGCCTTTTCGGTGGCTGGAGAGCGACTGCTGACCCTAGCGGCCGGCCCGTCTTTTATATGATTTGGCCGCTGCTGGCCAGCGGACCCTTGCCTCACCCCCGCGCCTATCTTTATTTATTTAATAACCTTACAAACTAATAAACATAATTCACTATATAATATTCTTATAACTACTTGTTAGACTAGGGTGTACATATCAATATTTTTACTTATTTACAGGTTTACATTATAATTTTCAGCTGCTTTAGGCGGAGAATCCTTCCCCCCGCCTCAGCACTATAAATATAAAACGTCGTGGCGCGGTGCGCGTGGCTTCATTTGCTCCGCGGCCGCGTCACGATAACATGCTCTTTGGTTACACTACTACTATTATTTTATGTGCCTAACGGCCTAATATATTTATTATATAATAAAGTAAACATTTATTATATTTAACAATTACAGTTTTCATTAGAAGACTATGCTAACTCTCCCTGTTCATACGGTGCCTTTATTTGGGAGAGTTATTGCACAGTTACAACTTAGTTATAATACAATCATTATTTTTTATCGTTCGATACAAGTAATACAATTATTTACACAAATTATAATTTAAATTCAACATAAGGTTGCGCTAGTCCCGCCGTATAACCCTTGCTAGTTGTCGAACCAGAGGCGTGGCCTGATAATTACACCGTCGTCATGGCTCCGCCCACCGCTCCTAGGTTGTTCAACTAGCGCCGGTTACAATAAGCATTTTCTTTCGTTTGTTTAATATTGTTGCGTCGTGCACAGGATAAATAAATAAACAAATAAAAATCTAATTTAACCTAAAATGAAAACCCAGCCAAGTTTTAAGACGCTATTTAAGGTATTATCTTCTAATTATTATATATTATGTAGTTATTTATTAATGCTAGAGCCAAATACCAAAATCTATCGAATCGAAATGTAGAGGCTCAAAATGTAGGGCGCAAAATGAAGACACGATCTTTAAAACACATGCCATTTCACTACGTATATAGAGTGATAGTAATATTCTAATACTATCACTATATATTCCTTTTAACAAAGTTTAACCGTTTTTTTTTATTTTTTGTTTTAAATTATTTTGGTTTCAGGACTGAATTTTCTTGGAAGGAATATGACGCTTTGCTAGTCGGTGCAGAGATGCTGGCACTCACTCCATTTTATTCCTTTTTCCCCATTTTTATCAAACTAACGACAGTAATAACACGAAAAAAGAGATCAACTTCCTATCACCAACACCACCACCCGTGTAACATGTCGTCCAATCGTAACCATAAAACAGACAAACAAATAGCATACAACTTTCCGATGCTTCTTTTTGGGTAAGACAGGTGCTGATAGCTATGGGGAAAATTCTCCTAGTTTTATCGGAATATTCCGCTGCATTGCGCAGTACAGTACTGCGCCCTATTTTTCATAGTGTAGTGTACATAATAGAGACAGAGGAAATCCACCACACTGCCAAATGTTATTTCAATATTTTATAATCTATACTTGCGATCGTTGTCACTTGGTGAAATTTCATCTTTGTTTTTGTGATTTACATATTATATCCTATGAAACAAGTGTAATTTAATTTAATATTTTAGTTTAAATTTCCTCTTAATGATTTCTTTCGCCGCTTTAACCAATTTAAAGGATACTGGCACGTGGTGTTAAATATGTTCACAAAGTTACTGCAAGTAAAAAAAAAATACAAAACTGTGGACAATTTTATTAAGCTCTTTGAGATTAACTACCTACATGTAGCTTACCTATTACCCTAGATACTCTACTTCAGCTCTACAAAAAGTCGGAATAATTAGTGAAAAGTAATTTTAAAAAAACAACAATAAAAGTTTTTCATTAATCTACGAGTATACATTTATAGACATATATAACATAGAAGATATGCAGGAAGTCGATGGATGCAGGTGGCTCAGGACCGTGCTTTGTGGCATTCCTTGGGGGAGGCCTATGTTCAGCAGTGGACTTATGAAAGGTTGTAATGATGATGATGATAATGATGACAAAATAGAAGTGTCTGTCTATAATATCGATATAACTGCATTCTATTAAGCTTAGGGAGAGCCGTGGTAGCTCAGATGGTTAGCGCTCGCTGTAAGCTTCACAGTACTCGAGCAACCCGGTTTCGATCCCCGCCGGTACCAATGAAATTGTTAATTGCAATTTTAAGTGCTGATTTACCATGTGCTGTGCTGTGTGAAGGAAAAAATCGTGAGGAAACCTGCATGTCTGAGAAATAAGAAAAAAAATATTTCGAAGACATGTGAAATTCGCCAACACGCATTGGGGCAGCGCGGCGGACATTTCCTTGCCCTAAAACCCTCTAAGAAATGAGAGGAGGCCTGTGCCCAGCAGTGGAACGTAAATAGTCTGCAACTTTATGGTTATTTGCTTGTTAATAAGACACGAAGAAACATTAAAAAAATCTATTTCTGTCCGGCCTAATCAACGGAATGGCAGAACGGATTGTGATAAAACTTCACGAACAGATAGACGGCAATGCCAGAAGTAATCTAAGCTATATTTTAGCCAAAAGATTTGAGATTACTTTTGAGAAATCAAAACATTGACAAAATAAATGGTATTTGATTATTATCTTAAAACTCAATAACGCCACATTAATAGATCCTACCCAGGTGAAGCTGGAATGGGTCGCTAGATGGTTATAAATTAGGTACTGAATTCAAATGAAAAATCAAAGAGTTCCTTAAAAATAATTTACAATGCATTTAACCAAAGCTTCAGTAAACTTTAAATCAAGGTTATTTTTAAGCTAATCAACTTTTTTTTTAATATAAAAATAAGTGTGTTTTAACTGTACAAAGACCAAAAATTTGTTATTGAAAATGTGCGCATTCACGTTAATATTTAACACATTTTTAACGGCATCAATTATAATAATTACGCACATATTATATAAGATAATTTAATATTAAATAACTCAAATAACTCAAAAACTATTGTTCTGGCACACGAGAAGTATCAGCTTTCATATAAAAAAAGGATCACCGAAATCGGTTCACCAAGTAAAAAGTTATGAGGTAACACACATAAAAAAAATACGCGTCGAATTGAGTACCGTCTCCTTTTTGGAAGTCGGCAGAAAACTAAGAAAACGAAATAAAAAAAAGCATTATTGAAATATTTATCAGACAATCTGGTAAAATACTAAGGGATTAATTAAGTGTGTATAAGGAACGAAATTGGCATTATCAGTTGTTCACATGTTTTAGAGATAAAATCAAAAACATTTTACAACCAAATTCAATATAAATTATTTAGAATAACTCAAAAACCACTGGTCAAAACTTGATCAAATTTATATGAGACCACATAAAAAGTACCTGAATCATCCAAATTGGTACACCTAGAAAAAAGTTATGATTCGACTGTATATTTTTATGTGTTCCCACACATAAAAATATACAGTCGAATTGATTACCTCCTCCTTTTTTGAAGTAGGTAAAAAAACTGAATTAATGCAAATAAATAAAAGTTTAGATGTATTTGTTTTGATGAAATATTCGATAATTCATTATTGTGTTGTGCATAAGGAAGGGAATACACAACGATGCTTGGTTGTAGAGACCGCTAAGTTATAGAACTTGCGGTATGAGTCATCTGGTACCTATATCGACATTGACTGTTTTGTGCCTCTTGAGAGGATAGAAATGTATCACACTGAAATTACGCCTAATTTGAAATTTGTGAGCTTGTGACGCTAGTTCTTCAAATATAAATATTTTACTATAATAATGTACCTAAGCACTTTTTAATCCAAATTTAATTGTACGAAAAAATAAATACTATCACATCGAAATTATTGAAATGTTTCTATTATGCCTCATTATGTTTTTAAAATCACATTAAAAAGAATAATATCATTCGGTATCATCACTTTAAATGCCCCCTTTTGGTAATACATTTTATTAGCTTCATAACAAAAAGGATAAAAAGAGGAAGAACAATCTTCACAAACACTTTAGTTAAATAAATTATTCAAGTCTGCGTTTTTAAATCATCATTTCAATGTTATTACGCTCAATGTCGATGATTTGTTTTCATTGAATGCATTTTACGTTGAGGTCACTGAACTCCAGAGCATGGACGCACTTACGCCCCCCGCTTGTTCACCACCCCATAGAAATACCACGCTTTACGAGGCAATGATTATCACTATTTAAAAACACGATAACATACCCTCGCTTCCACAATCGGCACACACATTATTACCACTTTTCTTTTGTAACTCCTGTAACAATTTTTCGTTATGATCTACCATCGTGGAACTTTTGCATCAATAATGAAGACACACGCTACTAGCGTACGCCGCCGCCCGAAAGTCGAACGCACGCCTTGAACGCGATCTGCCACTGCGCGAGGGAGCGAGCCAGACTTCGACCGACGCGGCTATTTGGTTCAACAAGCACCAAACGTAGGTGAAAACTTTGCTGTTTCACCCATTCGCATTCGAAAACAAGTAGAATGAATGAGATAGAAAGAGAGGTCTAGTTTCGGTACATGAATGAAATCTGTGAGTAGTAAAATATACGAATATAGGTATTTGTGCAGACTGTGTAGTGGATGTCTCGTAAAACTTTTATTTGTGTGAGTATGGCGTAGTACGTGATACGACGTAATACAAGCGCCGCCGGTCGTCGCCGTCTCGCGTAAATACTAGGTAGACGTATGTATTCATCAGATTGGTACCTACACAATATATCAAACTCATAGCGTCGTAAATACGGATAACCTGACCTTTATTATGCATTTTGATGATATTATCTGCTTTTATTTTGGTACATGTTATAATTTTAAGGATTTTATTATCAAATTGTCTTTGACCTGTATTTATATCAAAATTATCAATACATTGAAATAATTACCCAGAAGCATTTAGTTTTGTTACTAACTACAAATTTTTTACTGTCTATTTCCAATGCTTTAAACCTACAACCTTTATCCAACTTTTAAAATATGGCAATCAAATACTCGGAGTTTTTGGAAATTTCCTGTAATGGGTAGGTTTTAAAAATTATTAATTTATGTCTTAGATAAGCAAAGGTGTGATCTCGCATTGTAATTTAAAAAAAATAGACTCACCAATTGCCACGTGCTCATATCCAAAAATGTCCAAAAATTACTGTTTTTATTCATTCATAGACCATAAAAACTCCAATGGTGGATATTCTTCCCTCATAGATTTAGTTTTATAGGGGTGATATATGCCATAATTGCCACCTTGCTTGGCAGCAAGGCTAAGAACCGCAGGTTATTAATATTATTGAGTTATTAAAAGAAGATATTGCTGACTAATACTATTGTTTAAAATTCCTTCTTTCTGGCGCCTTTGACGATATTAAGGGCCAGGGGATTCTCTTTCGCCATTACTATACCGTAAAAAATTACTATAGTAGCTGTACATAATTGTGGCAATTTATACAGAAAATGGTCAATGTAAACTGTATAAATTTAAATAATCACTGGGTAGATTTTATTTATTTCATATTTAAAATTTAATAATATGTTTATTTATTTTAAAAAAAAGTCCCGCTGGGTTTCTTGCTGGTTCTTCCCAGGACAGAGGTATTTTCCGAACCAGTGGTAAATAAAAAATGGCTTTCAATAAGTATTATGTAATAATCAATATTGAATAAAAAATCATTCCATTCTATTCTATTCTATTTTATAGTCATATTATAACAGTCCCTAAGTTAAAGTTTAATCAGTTAAAACAGAGCTCGTAGCGCTTTACATATTAGAATTTGTATACCATTCTTATTAGTAATAAGAATGATATAAATTCTATGTAATAAGTTATTACAATCGCCGTAGAGTTAAGACTCGCAATACTACTACTAGCTCCATGTTGTGCTCTTGTACCACCTGCATTTTCCCATCCTCTATACCTACAGGGTTCTTTTGAAAGAGTATCCAAATTTTATATATAAGGTCAGTTATATCATAACATTTGGATTAAGTTAATGAGAAATAATGTTAAAGTTCAAACAGCTCCAGGGCGCAGTGGCTTTGCAATGAGTTGCTACCCAGGGGGCCGCGGGTTCGAATCCCGCACGGAACAAGTATTTGTATGGCCTACAAATAATTGTCCCGGGTCTGAATGTTTGTCCTTGTGCAATTTGTGTTTGTAAACTGCCTACAGGATACAGGAGAAAGTCCTAGTGTGGGGGGAACGTTTTTTTTTTTTTAAAAAAAAAGCGTTTTTAGTACTCCTACCACTAGTGTACCTTGCTCGATAAGTAAAAATAAAACACGTTTTTTTTTGAAGTGATAACTTCTTTAGCATCGTTGTGCATAAATATATAAAACAATAGGAGAGAATAAGATAGAATGTATACTAATATAATAAAGCGGAAGAAGTTTTTGTTTGTTTAAACACGCTAATCTCTGGAACTACAAGTCCGATTTGATAAATTCTTTTGGCATTTGATAGTCAGACTCACGAGGAATAGTTATAGAGTATCTAGCATTAGGCTACACCTCTGAGCTTAACCTTAAATATTGGTTTTTGTTAAGCAAGCCGGAAAAAAGCGCTCGCGAACTGCTTTATCCGCGTGTGCTCGCGTAATGGTTAGTGATACGTAAATATTATGTTCTACAAAAATATAGATCTTTTCTCCATCTAAAAAAATCCACAATACCATAGGCCTATTTTTTATACATAATCCACAATAAGGTATTTCGTGACAAAAAAATATTGAAAATTAAAAAGTGATTTATGAGCGTTATTATCAGGCATAGCATATTAATCCTTCCAAACGAAAGTTACTTCATCATTAAGACAATTTTATGAAAATAAACTTTGCTCTTTATAGCATGTTATTTGGACACTAACTAAGAGATAATGAAAAATTAAAATAGTTCACACTCAGCTCGGCGCGTGAACGACGCCTAGCCACCCGATGAGACCCGAGTGTGCGGCTCAGAGCGTGACATACGCAGGTGATACCGCGGGGAACAGCTAGTGCAGTACAGTGTTTCCTGTTATCTCGGTCTCCTCTGTGTGTAGTGCTTTAAAGGTGTTGAATATAACTTTTAACTGTTAAAATAAAATAAATAAAATTAATTATAATTGAATAAAATTTTCATATACAAACCATTCTTAACAGTGTACGATTTCATATCTCAACAATTTATAATAAATTAGTCGTATTTAGGCCATCTAGTGTCTATTTTCTGGACCACCTTTTTTATATAGAATAAGTAATATAGCCATTCAGCGGGGAAACGCAGCCAGCGTTCTTGGCACGATACCGTGGGGAGTAGGACTGTATGATAATTAAGTTACTAGTTTTAGTTTTTTTTTTAATTATAGTTTTTAATATTGTATATAATAGGATAAGTAATTCGTTTTTATTTAGATAGTAAGTAATTGCTGTGGTCCATAGACATCTACATCCACCCTCAATTACGAATCAAAATGCAGATGCGTTGTCACCCGTGAGGTCTACGATATAATGCCTCTTTTCCAGTAAAAAGGGTATCCGCGGTTCTCACCACTCATCATACGAAACATACCAGCGTTGAGGTATTCTGTGAGATAGTGATCCTTCTCCAGTCGAGCCGACCCATTCGTGCTACAACTATACTATAGATATAGCTACAGCAAGGCTCTACCATGTATACCAACTAGCACCTTGACAGTCAATCAATTTTTGTTTTATAAAATTATTTTACCTATAGAATAAAGTAGACGTCGCTATTACAAATCAATTTTAGTTGAAAGAAAATATTATTTTTAATTAATACACTAAAATTTAGGCTCTACATGTCTATAAATAAGGAATGTGACATTTCTTTGCTATAGCAAATAAATGTTACATACCTTACCATGTATACCAACTAGCACCTTGAGAGTCAATCAATTTTTGTTTTATAAAATTATTTTACCTATAGAATGAAGTAGACGTCGCTATTACAAATCAATTTTAGTTGAAAGAAAATATTCTTTTGATTTAATTAATACACTAAAATTTAGGCTCTACACATGTCTAAAAATAAGGAATGTAACATTTTTTTGCTATAGCCAATAAATGTTACATACCTTATTTTAATTTAAACTAAAACTTTTATCTTATATCTTTCTTATGTTTATCTTTTTATCTTGTGGTTGAAAATTATCAAATTAAAAAAATCATTTGCCGTGAAAAGAAAAAAGCTTAATAATTCTATGGTTTGTTTTATTTTTCATTTCCTTTAAAAGTTTCACTTCTAACGCGTGTGAATTGCACACATGTTTTTTTGTTTGTTTCTTCTTTAAAGGACTAAGACTACTAAGACTTCACTTCTGTGAAGTCCGCCAACACGAATTGGGGCAGCGCGACGGACATTTCATTGCCCTAAAACCCTCTACGGAATGAGAGTAGGCCTGTACCCAGCAGTGGGACGTATACAGGTTATAACTAGTGACTAGTTTTTTCTTTAATAGAGTGAAACAGATAAAAGTTTTGTATGGAGTGTAAGCCCCTTTTGTCGAAATCATAGCTTGCATTCGTCTGGGCATACTAGCGAGTACACCCCTTACGGTTTCTTGCGAAATACGTTCTCACTCCGCAATAATCACATTTTTAGCTCTGTGATGGTCTGCGGAACCATATGCACTGATCTCATTCAAAGCTTCAGAAATTCCCAAACATGCTGTATAGAATTTAGGCTGAAATTTCGAAATAGCCAATCCAAACAACCTATAGCATATACGATGTGGAAACATCGCCAGACCGGTGGGTGCGATCATTGTAGTCTATAAAAATTGACTTTTCGCCAAGAGTATAGAATGCGGGTTGTGCATAAGGAATTAGAACTTTCGTTGTGTATCCGGGGTCCTATCAGGGCGCCTTTATCGATGAGGAATAACGTACGATCCAACACATTAATTACTATCCACTACATAATATATGCCGTGTAGTGGCGGTTAAGAATATCCACTACCCCATATCTTCCCGTGGGTGTCGTAAAAGGCGACAAAGGGAAACAGGCAGGAGATGGGCAGCAGCATCTTCCTGATAATAGCCAAAATAACAATAAAAAAACTGCGGTTGCCAACCCGCTCGCCAAGCGTGGCAACTATGGCAATATACCCCCCATGAGCAATGACAATAATAAACGGCCCCCAGTCCCCGGCGGCCCCGCCATTCCTGGCTACGGTGGCGACCATGGTAACGGCGGGGCAGGGGGTGCTAAGAATCTCCGGTGGAGGTTCGGTTGCCACCTACGACGACTCGACCTGGCAACATACAACGCACGCACCCTGAGGACTGACGA